ACACAGAGTCCCTCTCCACTCTGTCAGAGATGGGGGATGGGCCCCAAGGGTTATGTCTGATTTGCCAGGAACAATTCATTTTTTGCTAAATAGTGAGATTAGTTCGTGCAAGCAAGAGCAGGAAGGTAGAAACAAGTAAGTGGACTAGTGTGGTCCAACAGAGGCAGCGTCTCCACGAAGGATAAAATGGTAGCTGCACTCATGGAGATTGTCTGGCAGTGTCCCTCACGGGCAGCTGGGGAGTGAGCCTGTTGTTGGGGGAGCTTCCTGGATTTTTGTGTTTCCGTTTTATGTGTGTAAATGTCCTTAAATAACCCACCTTGCCGGGGAGAAGAAAGCTAAGTGTCACACCCAGTTCTGGATTCCACATTAACAACCTCCTTCCGTGCAGTGTTAAACTTTGCCCTTGAGGCCTTTTGTTTAACTTTTTAATTCGAAAAACAGATTCTGCCGTCACAATCCGTTCTGCCCTCCACAGCACCCTCTCCTTCCCCCCTTCCCACCAAGTAAAGTATAACTATCTCAGATAATTTTTTGTTTGCTTCAAAATGCATATCCTGACCTCTAGGTGGAAAGAGATATAACAGTCTTATAAGAAGTTGTACATTCTAGAATGTTTGTTGTTAACCAAGAACCTGAGTCCCTTGGCTTCATCAACTCTGTTTTTAGTAGCCTTATGACCACCTCTTGGAAAAGGGCCTACAGTTTTGTAATTTCTCACCCAAGGGCATAAGAGAAGAAACAAATGGGCACTGTGGGAATACCTCCTGCCATCTCAGTCCTCCTGTTTAGGGTGCAGTGGGATAGAGATTATTTATGGTTCGTAAATCGCGACTACTGTGAGCATTCCAGAATCCCCACAGAATATGACTTGGGCTTTCATGGAGCTGTAAATTAAGGGGCGGGAAGTGTGATAAAACTCCATAGAGAACTGTGCGGCAATGGTTAAATGAAATTTTATAAGCACATTCAGCGCAGAGCTGTTTTGCATTACATGAGTTGAATACCTTAGAGATGCCACATCTGCAGGTACTTTATTAAATCCTGAGTCAGCACTTTCCAACCTGATGAGATTACTTCTCCATCTGACCAGCTAGAAGGAAAGCTGAGCTCCTGTCTTGGACTGCAGATTTCTTTTGATGTTTCACCTTGAACACTGAAAGAGGATGGGTCCCCTTCCCACCCCCAGCACATCCCAAACTGTGGACATTGTGATTGTAACTGGCTAATTTTCTGCAACCAGAGCCTTTGTGGGAGTGTGGATTTATGGGCCTCCAAATCAACTTAGCTGAGTGTTCCTGAGGAAAAACTAGATCAAAGCTCTCTGTGTTTACTTCCTCAATGTAAATGTATCAAGATAACATCCTTCGATACTGTACTGTAATATTGCCACTCACTGCAGATAAGGCACAGAGATTCCTTTGTAGTCTCCTGGATACAGTAGGGCAGATTAAGGGGCTGTAAAGTATGAGGGCAGAAGCCATACAATACTCAAACTAATGTCAGTAAAGGTCTGACAATGATTTTGTAACTCTCCACAGATGAATTGTCTAATGTGCCAATATTTTCCCAGTGATCTGCTATTCAACCCCAAGAATTCAAGCATCTCACATTTCTTCTCTGGCTTCCCTGCATATATACCCCCAGGAGGAAGACGCAGAGTCTCTCTTCAGTGGGTGCTCTGAACTGACACTGTTTTCAAATAATAGAAAGTAAAGGAAAGTACCATGAGAAAGATGGGTCTTTCAGACATTCTCTTGTCAGTCTGATGTGATTAGCAGTTCATGGAAGTTTCCAGAAATCCTGTGTGTGGGTGGCTATCACACTCACCACAACAGATTATCAAACAGCAGCTTCAACTACAAACTGAGGAGTAGAAGATTTGGTGAAACAGAGGAACTTATTGTTATTATTACAGCGGTTTCTCTTCTCTGCTGTATCTGTGGATTTACTCAGAGGCTTCATTCAAATAAGGGGGAAGAAGAAAGAAAAAAGAAAAAGCTCAGTATGGTCCCCTAACTGACTTCCTCTTTCTGGAAGCCCTTGGTCAAGTAGCTGGGTTAATTGTCATGAAGATTAGTGTGATGTTGGGATAAGTACTAATGGTCAAATTACAGGAGTGAAAAAGTGGAAGAATGGGTTTTGGTTTGGGCCTGAAAGGGTTAATTAAGGTTTTTTCACGGGTTATTAAAGACCCCCAACCCCTGCCTTAGGAATCATATTGACACCCCACCACAGGACTGCTCAGCTCCTCTATTGACATGTTGCTGGTTGGAGTACAATAGCCTCTGTGTCTGCAAATCATTGCTAAAATCATCTCAAGGAAAAAAGTTCACAAGCTTTAACATTAGACAAAAGCCCAAGAGTTGCAGTGTGCAGCTCAAAAACCCAGAGTCAGCAACTTCTATTGATTAAAAACTAACCTTTAAAGTAACTCTGAGAGTGTGTGGTTAGCATTTAAATTTAAACATGTCATGAGTTGATTTGTGTTACTGAATACCAACTCAGAAGGAGTAACATTCACAGAGCAGTTTTTTTTTTTTTTTTTTCCTAACTCCCTAAACAGCTAAAGTATTTCATGAAATGTCAATAGGGCAAAAAGAAAAAGGGGAGGGACCAGCGCAGGGCCTCATAGTTTTCTTTCCCATGCAAATACTCAACCCCCACCCCAAAGAAAAGTGTGGAGAAGGAAACACAATAATTAGTCCTTTGTCTAACTTTCCCAAGTGCCAAAGAAAGACAGATTAATTAAATATACAACAGTGTTGGTTTTTGGAGTGGGGGTCTTGCTTGCTGGGTAGGTCATAAATTAGGCAGAATAAATACTTCAATGTGTTTGCAGTGGGCCTCCTACGTCAGAACCACTGGAAGGCTGGGTGGGAGGAGAGCAGAGGGTTTCTTGCTAATGATAGTCACGTCTGGGTCTGTCTGGTTGCTCTTAGCAACCAGACATGATGTAACACCAGGATGAACTTGAACTTGGGGGACTTGAAAAGAGAACAATAGACCAGAGCAATCAATAAAGCCTATTTCAGTGAAGGATTACAGAGCTGCTCTGGGGTAACCTTGTCGCCAGTCACATACTGAATAGTAAGATGTGTGAAGAAACTTTTTTTTTTTTTTTTTTTTTTTTTTTTTTTTTTTTTTTTCTTTGCTTTGCTTTTTAAGAGAACTGCAGAGGCACCATTTTTGTAGTGCCCTGAGGTCCAGTCCAGAAACTGTGGGATGGAAAACTGCACCCCCTGCTGACTCACGAGGTCCCAGACCTTTGCTTGCTTCAAGAACTACTGACTGTCACATTTAAGAAGTCCAAAATTTCACAACTGCCTTAGAAAGTGCAAACAAATTGTGAGCGTTCATAACTGGCTACACTCAGAGCTTGAGACTGTTTTGCTAAAGAGAGAACTCGAACTACACCATGGGTCAGCATCGGCTCCCAGAACAGGCCTTCTCAACACACAAACCCTGAGGCCTGCTTCCCTCTGCTCCCTTTCTTTCTCCCTCATCCCTGTTCTGTCCAGTTAGATCTAGGCCGTGTGTGCTTCCCAGGGTAGTATTCCTTTCAAGACATAAGAAGCTTTATCGTGTCCCCCAAACCTTGTGGTCAGAGAATAACATCTACAAGTCTACAGGATGAGTAGGATGAGTAGTTTTGTGGTTTAGGCTTAGGTTTTTTTCTTTTGTTTTGTTTTAAGCTCCTTTAGAAATCAAAGGTAGCTTATGTGACCAGGAAATCTTATCCCAACCTCCATGGAGCTATCGTTTAGCCACTTATCCCTGGGATCAAAGGAGTCCTGCCTTCCCCTAATTGAATCTCTCTGACCAGAGTGAGCCTTGGCCCACCAGAATCAGCCTTGCCGATACTGTTAAAGCAGAGCTCACAGGCATTTACTTTGCCTAGAAGTTGGTGATTTTTCTGACTCATGACAAATGCAGTAAAGTCTTCAGGGTACCAGGAAAGAAGAGTTGGCAAAAGCTGTATACTTTTTGCCTTCACTTGAAAAACTAACTCTCATACCACAATTGGTCGCTTTGCTTAACTAACTTTATTTCTTTATTAACAAAGAAATGCCAGCAGATAATGCTCAAAGCTAGTCACCTGTATATTTATGAAAGAAAATGAAACTTGACCAGACAGGCTGGCAGAAAACTCGAAGTACACGTTAAACAGACAAAAACCTGATTGAGGGACTAGGCAATGACTTGGTTTACCCCTTGACCCTCATGGTGCTTAATAAGGTACAGTCTTGATCGTTTATTACATATCATTTCTAAAAATGTAAATTATAAAATATCCAGCTGAAAGGGATATTGATTTGCACCATGAAATCGCCTTTACACATGTAACAAGAAAGAATAGTGTCTTCCCCATCCCCCAGCTACCAATATGAAGTTTTTTCACCTTATCTCTGACTGTACATCATCCACTGGTCACCTTGCCTGCTCAGAGAACGATGTGCTTATGTCATCAACAACTACACCTCACTGAAAAAGAGATACTGTGAAAATCATGGAAATAACTATTCAATTCTTGTTCCTTGAGCCCTTTCTGCATCCCAGACAGCAAGCTAGGCACGAAGAACTGAATGATGATAAGACAGTCACATTCTTTGCCCTCTTACAGCTGCCCACTACCAGATTATAAAACTTGATGTGAATTTCAGGTAACCAGAAATGCTTCACTTGGTAAGACGCACTCCAAACATTGGCAAACCCCAACAAAGACAATGAATTTTAAAGTCAGAGGAATAAGTTTTTGTGTGCCAGGATTTACTACCAGTTAGCATTCCTTTTCCCAGTGAATCCCGAGTGTAAATTTGGATCCCACGGTTAGCAGAGCAACTCTGAAAATATGCTACGTTACAAATTGGACTTTTTGTGTTTTCAGTTCTGATGAGCAATATAGGCCTTGTTCATACAAACCAAGTGCTCTACCCCTGAGCTACATCACCATCCTTACAAACTACACTTCTAATTGCACTTTTCTTTCTGTCTTCTAGTCCTGGTACCTGGGATAAAAGTTGCAGCATCCCACCATCCACCAGACAGACCACCTGACCCCTTCTCAACTCTGTAACATGGACGCAACCTCAACCCAGCGCAGTTACAACTTCACTGTCAGTGGAAGGGGAGAAAAACCGATTCAGATCAACTTGTACATGGAAACAGCAAGCATTATGGTCAAACAGCAAAGGCCATAACCTTTTGGGATTTTTTTTTTTTAAATACTTTAGGACTGTTGTAATTTCTCATATGGTGCTGGAAATGGTTGGGCTGTGTGACATTTGAAGTGTTTCGGTGGTGGCGTGAGCATTCGGTGAGGTGGCTGGCTGAGGATGACCCTTGCTCACTGACTTCCTGTTGTAACACACTTCCCTTGTGGAGCCTGGCCTTTTCACAGTATTTCATGAATTTGCCCACACAGGTGTGATCCTCCCTGAGCATTAGGAGGCGATCAGAGAACTAAATCTTTTGTAGTAGCTGAGATCTGCAATCTATAACTTACGGACAGTCAAAGGGCAATGTTTTCCTGTAACATTGGAAACAGAAAATGCAGTTACGTTTCTTTTTTATCTTTCTTTTAGTTTGGTTTGGTTCAGCAGTCAGCAGTTAAGGACATAACACGGCCCGCAAGGACAGTGAACCCACTCATGTTGCAGAACAATTCCGAAAACGGCAAAGACTACTACTATTCAGTTTTTTAAAAGTTTTGAAATGCTGCACTTACATTTAAAAAAAAAAAAAAAGAACCATTTTTTCAACAATTTCAACAATGACACAAAAATTCATATGGAAATGGGGAAGATGGTCTGTTTTGACAGAAACTGACAGGAATCAATCAAAACAATCGAATTTTGAATTGAGTAAAGTGCAATTTCATTGGATAGCTAAGTATCTTTGTAAGATAGAGATTGTTGAAAATTCTATTTTTGTTTTTCAAGTCCTTCCACCCCAGGACTCTAAATTATTGGGGTAAAAAACAGCCTTGCAAGAAAAAGGGGAGCTATTTTTGCTTTTTATGTTTTTTATTGTTAAACTTGTATCCCTTTAAAAACTGAAGGAAATTAAAAAAAAAAAAAACAAAAAAAAAACAAATCTAATGGTGCTTTTACCACAATATGTTAACTACATTAAATGCTAATTAATTATTTTCTGTTATCAAAGCACATAACTCAAATGAAATCATGGTATCTGTTAATTTTATAAGCTAGAAGTCACTATAATGAATTATGCCAATTCTGAAAATTTTTACTTATATCTGGCAATACCGGATTTATCAGTTATCAGACACCTCATTGTACCAGAGATTGTCCAGAAGTTTCAAAGACCTTTGCAACCCTGAACTGGGCTATGGGAAAATAATAGCAAACCAATATGACACAACTGCTGTGCCCATTCAGATCAAGGGTACTTGTTAGGGAAAAGTCGAAAAAAGTTTGCACCCCCCAAATGTCTTGTAGCTTATGTTTAAAAAAAAAAAAAAAAAGACAAAAAAACCCAAAAAACAAAAAAAAAAAAGCAGAAACATAAACAGGAAAAAAAAAATGCAAGTGATTTTTCTACCAGACAGCGAAGCACCCCTTTGCTTCCCATGCAACCTCAAGAAGGTTTCCTATACTATACATATATATATGTTCTGGTCGGCAGGTACTGCTGACCGGAGGAAGTCTCTGCATGTTCTAGTGTTAGTAACTAATTTTTATATAGTTAATGTAGGATAAAGTAGAGTGCATTAAGACACAATATTGGAATCCCTACTCTAGGCACTTGCCTTTAAACTATGTTTTTCAGCCCTTCAGAAGGGCTCTACTACTGTCCTATACAATCAAGTGACTGAAATTCTTGGGAAGACACTTTGCTCCTCATCTTTACCCCCAAACAATGTTGTTTTGTTTTGTTTTTTTTCCTTAATTTGCACGAAAACAGAAATTCCATATCAATGTGCCTTGCCCTGGATAGCGACTATTTGTGGAATTGTTGCACACGCTCCTTGATTGAAGGGGTTTTCCCTAGTCAAGCATTCGGAGACACTTTTTGTAAATGTGACTTTTATGTCAGCCATCGTCAGTTTCAACATCTAGACCTAATAGAAAGGTAGCTGTTCCGCAGACAGGAGTAGTCTCGATTGTCCTATGTGGTCAGTGGCAGTGCTATTCTGAGCTCTGTAGATGCTTACGATATCAGTATTTGGGATGTTGCTGCATTTTACAATTTATTTGGAGTCTTCCTTTATTTTTCCCCCAGATATATGAAAATATGCAATACCTGCTTATATCATGTAGAAAAGCTTAGTGATTATTTTTTCCTTCTTTCTTTCTTTTTTTTTTTTTTTTTTTTTTTTATTTGACCAAAGTCAGTGCTGCACTTGACGCAGTGTGTTTGTCTTTGTCCTTTTCTGTGGTTTTGGATGCACGTGCGCAGGAAGGGTTCCTCTTAGAGAAGCAGTCAAACTGTGAAGCACTAAGCTGACCCTGCTTCAAGCAATTTTGTTTTCACAACTGTTCCTTTCACAAGCAAGCCTTAAAAAAAAAAAAAAAAAAGACAACTTCCTTTTTCTTCAGCTCCCACACCCCATTTTTCTTAGCAGACTGCAGTCAATCCACATTCAATAAAAAGTATATAATGCCCATTTTTATATGCACGTTTTTAAACTTCCAAGTTCTGAAAATTGTTTACTGGTTATCTCTATTTAAGGAAAAAAAAATAAAATAAAACATTTTGGATTTTCATATGTGTCTGATAAGTGGTTGAATAGTCGTTTGGCGCTGTTGTATGGTGTGATTGTCAGTGTACGGTGTCACTTCCTATAGCCAGCCAGCCAGCATACTTTGCCTTTCCCTTTAGCACTTAGCTGGGCATTACTTTGTTATGACATATGTGCACTAAAAAAAAAAAAAAAAAAAAAAAAAAAAAAATAGAGAGAGAAAAAAAAGAAAGAAAAAATAGCGGCTTTCAGTGCTTCACAGTGAAGGGAAAAAAAGCCTAGACAAACATTTTGTCAGAACCTTGCAATAAGCCAAGGTATTACCAGTAAATTGGTTGTATATACAATAAAATTGCACCCTTTTTTAAACAAAACAAACTAAGCAATAGTTTGGGCAGTTTTAGTTGTTTTTAGTGAGCATGTTGTAGTCATGACTGCAAAGAGAGAGAATAAACTGCCCACTCAGAAGATATGTAATTTGTATTGTTGTATAGTTTTATTGATTACACTGATTTATTCTACCCTATTTTATAATGCAGGACTTTTGTAATGTTGTTTAAATGAGGAAAAATTCCTGTCAAATTAGCCTAGTAAAATTTCTGATTGTTCATTATAAAGGCAGCGTTCATAGAATTGCTTTTCTTTCTTTTTCGCCCCCTTTGGGAACTGGATTTAAGTTTAAAACTTTCCTGTTTCCTTTTTTTTTTTTTTTTTTTGTAAGTATTTAAATACAGTTATTTTTCTGTCAATGGTATAGCATACTCCTATGCTTAAGAAGCATAGGTCTACTGAAAACCCATTGCAAATGGACGTTACATGTATGCTGTATTTTTGAAGGTATTTTGTTGTGTTAAGTTTGATGAAGCTAAAATTACAGAACTCTGAACAGATTTGCAGGAAAAAAAATGTTTTAAAGGCTTTAAAACATTGGGGAGGCAGTATAGGGAGATAACAAACAGGGGTTAAGTATTAAATACACTAAGTTCCATTTTTGTTCATGTTTCATTGTCTAGAAAGCAGCAGGAAATTGTAGTTCAGTTGTGATCAAGCAGGAGTAACAAAACACCAACAATCCAAGTGTTTTGCTTTTTAGGTTAAAAGCTGAATGAAGGTGTTTGAGGAAGACTTTGCTACTGGAGTGTATAGACAGACAGACTTGAAAGCTAGCAGCATTTGAAGGCCCAGCCTTGATTCTGAGACACATTGAATTTTTTCTCTCCCATCCAATGGCATTAACACAGTTGGCAAAGGCGGTCCCTCAGGTGACTCCCCAGGTTTTTTTCTTTGGGAACTGAAGTCAGAGGCACAAACACTAACTCTTAGCATCTTCCAGTCAACGCTTCCTTTTGGCCTATCTCCTGGCCACTGTTACCCTCCTTTTCTAACCCCTCCTGGGCAGAGACCCTCTCTGGTGCCACTGTCCCCACCCTCCAGCCCCTCACTTCTCTCTGAGGCATGACTTTTCACCCCCTGGCTTGATTTATACCCAGCTACTCCCCACCAGGGGCCACCATGCAGATGGACTCCTACAGGGCCAGCCAGGCTACATCTCCAAATTGTGTTCTTCCCGGTATACAGGACCCAAATTTCCAGTCATGCTGTGCTGTAGTCAGTCAGCCTACAGGAATATGCAAAACCCATCTCAAAAAGTTTGTCTTTCACCTTTTAAAACTTTGTCTTCATATGTTTTGAATTGTGTAGTGATAATATCATGAGGTATTTACAAAGGAAAACATTTCCCCCCCCCATGGTATTTTTTTGTGGGGAAAGGTTTCCAAGAATGTCATTTAATGTACTTTTACACCACAGTTCTAGACACTTCTTTGTCCAGGGTACTCTATCATTCTCCCCTCCTGCACTCCCTCCCTCCTTCCCTCTCTGTATGTGTCTCTCTCTCTCTGGGTTTTCTTTGCTTCTTTTTCCTTTACCATTTCTGATAGCAGGCCTCCATAGAACAGGTGTAAAATACAAGAGGCATGGTCATGTGAGGAGAACTTTGGTGCGCCTCCCGCCCACCAGTCAGACAGTCCCAGACAGTCCCAGAAGCCGTTCTGCCCTGCGGGCATGACTTTCATTCTCATCAGCTCCCGAGGCCATTTTGTCTTGAAGTCAATGCATGTAGTTACTGTTTGACAGTAAACCTGCTCTGCCTTCTCTACGTCCGAGGCTGCGCATTCTTCTAATTAGCGTCATGTATGTTTCCCCTTTATTTTTTCCAATAAAGAAGCCGTGGGATGAAAATTGCTTTGATATATAGCAGGTATATCGAAGCTATTCCATAGCACTTAACTGTAGTGAATACTGTGTCACCAGTTCTGAAATCAGTTTAATGTCTAATGCAAATCCATTACATGGTGCTATTACAGGCTGACAAAATGATTTACACAAATGTGACAACTCGGGCTCAATTCACTCAGCTTCCCCACAGTATAAATGCATAGCAGTGTTTATCTGCATGAGAACTATGCACTAATCTATCTGAAGAAAAAAAAAAAACTATATCAACTTTGTGGTATCTACTTTCCGTTTACTTCAATCCTTGCCTTTTTGGTCATTGTTATAATGCCAGCTTTAGGACAGAAAGAATTATAAGAAAACCAGCATAATACCTGATATATTAAAATGTAGTGCCTGTGAAATCTGTATTATATTGCTCTTCTGAAGTAAGATTTTTTCTACACCGGTAGCCTTCGCTGTCTGTCAGTCAGGACCTCTGGTATAGGTGATGTAAAATAACCGTACAATATTATGCATGCTATTCCATAATGCTTAGTGAACTGTATGAATATTACTCAAAGTTATGTTGGTCTTTTTTTTTCTGACTCAGTTCCTGTCAGCTAGGTTTAAAGGTATTTCACTGAGAACGCAAATTCTGTCTCTTCATTTAGGCTGTTTTCAGTATTTTGGAGATACACATTTACTTAAATTCAGTATTACGTGTATTTTGTTTTGTTTTGTGTTTTTTCTTTCTCCTAAGGGACAAGCATGGGTGTTTGATTTCAGAAATCAGTATCTGGTGAAATTTTTGTCTCAAAACTATTGTTTGAATTTCAAGAACTCTGCTGTGAAACCACTTTGAGAACACTTCCAAGTGAGAGTCATTTTCTTGACCCTGGCCGAAGCGATGAACCCATACCGAAGCGTCTCAGTGGACAGTGCTCACCAGGCACCCATGCTTGATCCGTCTCACACCAGACCTCCTCATATTAAAAAGACAAAAGAAAAAAAACTTTAAGAAATCACGTGGCTATTTAGTTACATGCACAGATGCGATATTTTCTTCAAAAATATAACTCTGTACAAACTTTGGGCCCGATTCATAAGAAAAAGAAGTTTCCTATTAACACGGGATTTTTTTAAGTATGCCCCTCTTTTGGTCTAAATTTGAAACTGCTTGCTTCCCAAGTTGAATAAATTTTGTTTTATTTTTACTCCTGAATCAGAACCCATCCTATCTACCTTTTAGTCTCCAGAGGGCTATGCCAAGCAGGTGAGAGATAGGGTATGAGGGAGGAGCAGACCCCAGCAGGGCTCAGCCAAGTGGGACCCCTAGAACCGGGCGATAGCACATGGGGCACAACCATCCCTGTGAGCCAGGCCCCCCAGGTTTCACATAGCACTCATGAGTTGTTTGGGTCAAACCACAAACTTTGCAAAAATATGTCTAGACCCCAAGGGTATACCGTGGAAGTGCCACCTCTGGTCTAGCTAGAGCACATTCATGGTAGAAAAGGCCCAAGGGCTTGTAAAATGTGAACTTTGCTGTCTCCACAGTGGTTTTAAAGGCACATAGTGTCCAACGAACAGGGCTGTTCTTCCTGCTGTTTAACGCTTAATTTCTCAAAAAGCCTCATTTTTTTTCTTTTCTTTGATTGTTACTTATATCACTATTATTATTTTTTTTTTCTTGGCAATGACCTGAAAATTGGCTTTTTTTATCCTTTAGCATTCTCAACTAAAGGTCTTAGGCCCCTGGCCATGTTAGGGCAGAGGTGTGAGGGAGCTGGCACTTTCTCCCTGGTTATTCTCAGGCTTCTGTCTTCACTGCGAAGGCACCTACTAGCCTCGCCACTGAGATGCCAGGCAGACCGGACTAGGAGCACCAGCAACTTTCAGGGCGTCCTAGGAAGATGGTCAAGGCCAAGTCTGTGGTCCCCTCTCTTCCATTCTCCCTGAAATTTCCCACCACAAATGGAAATTGTCTGTTCAGAGTGCCTCTGATTTTCATATCAAATTGGGGGGGGGGAGGCTTAAATACTTCCAGTGACAGCAAAAAAGATCTTTGCTAAATGAAACACCCGTGTTAATAACTTGGTCTGAAATTTGTTTTTATGAGCCGGGCCCCCTGTGCCTCTAGTATGCTTGTATTGACTCTCATAGTTACCCTTTTAGTTTACTGTGTTCTGTGAAAATTTGTAATTGGTTGAGAATCACTGTGGGCGTCCATTCTTATCAACTAAATCTCCACAGGGTTTTTGAGCTGGTGTGGATTAGTTTAACTCTTGTATTCAACCGTTAGTGCTACCACCTTCTCACATTACAATACAATTACTGGAAGCAAGTACTGCATTTCCTATGCAACAAAAAAGGAAAAATAAAAAATTGCTAATGCTACAGAGTCGTTGTGTCCTCTTTTGCCCTTCATGACTCGTGGGGGAGAGTGAGCTGTGGTTATATGCAGGTGCCTCTCACAGAAGATGGGCTTTCTCTCTGTGACTGTGTACTATTAGCCTTGATGGGTGTTAGGTGTGTAACAAACATCTTTCACTGTGTTCCAGGGACTGCTTGGACCAAGTAAGACTTCACACCCACCTGGAACTTACTGTGTGGCTAGTGTGTTTACTTTGCCATGCTTTATTGTTACTATCAGGAATTGGGAGGGGGTCCCACAGGCACAAAGAGGTCTCTATAAATGGCCTGGCTATTAGTCACTGTAGGGTGTGACCACCAGCCAAGGATCTGGAGAAACACAGGGAAGAAGCTGGATCACTAAGTTTAGGTGCTGATGGAGGGACACACACAGCTGGTACCTGGATGTTTTGGGAAAGGAGAGGTACCATCAGTGGGAACATCGCGTGGCTGGTACCCAGACATCTGGGAGAAAATGATCAGTTGATGCTAGAACTACTCAGGGAGCCCAAGGCTTCTGAGGAGCTATAAGTGCTGGAGCTAGGCTTGCTGGAAGGAGCTGGAGAATGCCACACAGCTATGTCGGACTGCCACTCCACCACAGACTGGAGGCCCTTGCCTCCCTCCCTCCTCTAGGCTCTGACCAGTGTCTCTCTTTGACTACATGTAATGGTAGCCATTTAGCAAGGGAGTCTAGAAATAGTACTGAGAAAAACAGCCCCAGCCTCACAAAGCAGCATATTAATTAGTAAGCTTGGAGAGCAAAAGGTATAGAAAGAACCCATACTGAGCACAGAAAGTAATCACCCAAGGTTCTACAGATAATCAGCTGAGCAGGATTCAAATCTAAGAAGTCTGGCTCCAACTTCCTGTAACCACCATGGCATATTGAGTCTATTATCTGTTTATCCGGCAAATACTGATTGAAATAGTGCCTACTATGCGCCAGAAGCGATGCCAAACCTAGGGCTAGTTAGTAGAAAAAGACTTTCTATTCTTAGGAGGCACATTGTCTGGTAGACAAAATAAACATTGCTGAAAGAAGCTCAACACAAAGTCCTGAAAACCTGATGAGGTCAGTATCATAGGTAGAAACTGGCCCAGGGAAAAGAGAGAGGAAGAATGTTCTGGGCAGAGGAAACAACATGTACAATGTGCTCATAATCAAAGGCAGCTCAGCACCTATGAGGAACTTAGCAAGGCCTATTGAGATGAAGGAGAAAGGAGGGGAAATAGGGAACAAGATGAAGATGGATCTTTAGGTCAAGACATCGCACAGCCTCACAGCACTTGATAGTCTTTGCTTCCTCTGACAGCATATTGCTTTCCTCGTCACTGAAAAAAAGCATGTGACAGAAACAACTTTCAGGAAGAAAGCTTTATTTTGGCTCATGGTTTCAGTGTATCATGGTGAGGAAGACAGGGTGGAACTTAACAGTGATGGAAGCTTGTAGCAGCCATGCCTCACATCTGCACCTGAGCAGAAACAGCACAGGCCAGAACAGGGACAGTATAACCTTCAAAAGCCTGCCCTAGTAGCCTACCTCCACCAGTCAGGCACCACCTCCTAAAGGCTCCCAAGCCTGCAAAATAGCAAATTCCCAGGCAAACTGGGACAGAACGTTCAAGACATGAGCCTGTGGGCAACATTTCACACTCAAACCATACAGACAGCATTATAAAACATGTATTCATTAGATTTGACTAAGGATACATGATCATACACATAACTCCACAGCCCCAGCAATGAAGATTTTAATCTAACTTTACACGTCTCTTGTGGGTTGCCTGGGACCACTGTACTGGATCACCTCATTCAGTAGCCAAGACAGAAAAAAAAAGCTATTTGGACTGTTGCTGGAGGTATTGGCAAGACATATGATGGCCTTTAACAAACCCATCTGAAGTTAACTCCCACCACTTCTCACATTTAATTGGCCAGAGCAGTCACAGGCCATGCCTGGGTTCAACAGGACCCTCAAAAAAGGCTAGAGAACCTGAGCCCTGACTAGTCTGAGGTGAAAGGAGACAAGGTGTGCAGTGTGAAGAGTGGACTCAGTAGAGCAGGTCCTGAAGAAACTACTGCAGTAGAGAGATGATGTACGGGGCCCCGCAGGGTCCAATATGGAAAATGGATGAGATGTGAACAGAGTTGGAGGACAGAAAAGGATATTGATAGCTACTGTGTGCTGAACTCTCATATGCGAAAGGCTGTAGGTGATTGAGCCCCTAACATTTAATAATCCCTCTTGTATTGCAGCTCTCAAAAAGGTACAGTCAGTCCTTAAAACACATTGCTGACTGATGTGAATAGAACAACTTCATATATACATTCCTTATTCTTTACGTTAGATCAGATTAGTCTCCACCTCACCAGTTTTTATTATTTGGACTTATAAGATTGGAATCAAAGTCAGCCCAAACCTTTCCTGTATTTGGCTTCTAAAACAGGTGGCATGATGGGGCTGGAGAGATGGCTCAGCAGTTAAGAGCACTGACTGCTCTTGCAGAGGACCCAGGTTCGATTCCCAGCACCCACATGATGGCTACGAACTGTCCTTAATTCCAGTTCCAGGGGAATCTAAAGCCCGCTTCTGACCTCCATGGCATTGCACAACACAGGTGCACTTACATACCTGCAGGCAATACACTCATACACATAAAATAAAAATAAATAAAATTTTAAAAATTTAAAAAAAAAACAGGTGGCATGCAATGTAGTGATCAAGACCATGGTCCTGCCTAGCTTGAACTCTAGCTCACCATTTCATTAGCTCTGTGGTGCTGGCAACATCTCAGGTTCCCCATTGATAAGATGGGAATCATTGAAATAGGGTTTTAAGGATATTTGATGAATTAAAATGTATTAAGTGGTTAGCAGTGCTCCCTCTCCCCCCACTTTCCAGAGGCAGGGCCCAACTAAAATGGGAGTCCTAATGTGCATAGTACGAATAATGCTTGAAAACACTTTGGGATTGCGTCCTATGGGGTCAACATCCAAGGTCATGAATGCTTGTATAGTTTAATGATAGAGCACACTGAAGTTCATCAGCATGATGGAACCCACAGAAACTTCTCAGGGCAAATGAACCAGGTCTCCAGCAAATTATTGTAAGGAAAATACAAGAGACAGTAGGATTCTGTAGATTTAGACCTCAAAGCTACTCAAATATGGACCCTTTCTTTCCTTACTTAGACAAGCCACTAAAAATTTTAAGACAACTGGGAATATTACTGTCAATATTCTGAGGCATAAAAATGATAATTTGAATGTATTTCACAAAAGACACCCTATCTTTTGGAGATATATTTGTGAATACGAATGAAATTATCTGATACCTGTGATTTGATTTAAAAAATCAGGAAGCAGGTGCAGAGGGTCAGAAGTGGATGGCAAGTGATAGATGGTAGGTAAATATGAGTTCATTTGTCAATTCTATCTATCGTATACGTGCATGGTATTTTTCTATAATTAAAAGTGTAACACGAGCCAGAACTGCAGCAGGTCTATAATCCCAACTTCTCAGGAAGCTGATGCAGGACGATCACAAATTTTAGGCTTTCTTGGGCTACAGAGCGAGTTCAAGGCCAGCCTGAGCAAAGTAGTAAAATTCTATTTCAGAATAGAAGGGACTGAGGACATAGCTCAGTGGTGGGGCACTTGCTTAGGCAAGGCAAGGCCCTAGCTTCCATTTCTACTACCACATCCACAAGTGTAACGTGAGAGAAGTCAGCGTGCCTTTTTAAAAAATCAGTGTTGATTCTAGCAGGACTTGGGAGCCATACTGACTCTGCCAGATGGGAAGCAGTGGGCTGGGCTGAGATGCTTCAGCAATGAAGGAGAAACTACGTTATTCCTCACAAAATGAAGGGGCCCTGATCTTCCCAGGGGCCGGTGGGATGTTTCCTATTTAGCCAAATTCATTTACCAAAGAGCCAGTCCTTGAAGGGTGTTGTCCTGAAGCCGGGTTCTCTCAAGTATAGTCTGGTGCCAGATGCTTGTATATTCTAGCACATTTTCATCTGTGTTCATTGAACTGTTTGGATTTCTTCCTCCAGGGAGGGAGATATTGCTGTCTTTCTTTCTTTCTTTCTTTCTTTCTTTCTTTCTTTCTTTCTTTCTCTTTCTCTTTCTCTCTCTCTCTCTCTTTCTCTCTCTCTCTCTCTCTTTTTTTTTTTCGACAGGGTCTCACTATGTAGTCCCAGTTGGCCTGGTACTTGCTATGTACACCAGGCTGACCTTGAACTTACGGAGATCCACCTGTCTCTGCCTTCCGAGTTTTGGGATTAAAGGTGTGTGCCACCATGCCAACTACTGTAGTCAGCAAGGAAACTGACTTGCTTTCTGTCCTGTGATCAATAAGTGGTCAATAAGTTAGTAAGACTAACTCCAGTTCTCTGGTTTCTTTATTCTTCGTCCTCTTCCTTCTTCTCTTCCTCCTCCACCTCCTCCTCTCTCTCCCTCACATTTTTATGCCTCAGAATATTGACAGTAATATTCCCAGTTGTCTTAAAATTTTTAGTGGCTTGTCTAAGTAAGGAAAGAAGCAGGATCCATATTTGAGTAGCTTTGAAGTCTCTTGTATTTTCCCTACAATAATTGCTGGAGACCTGGTTCATTTGCCCTGAGAAGTTTCTGTGGGTTCCATCATGCTGATGAACTTCAGTGTGCTCTATCATTAAACTATACGAGCATTAATGACCTTGGGTGTTGACCCCATAGGATGCAATCCCAAAGTGTTTTCGAGCGTTATTCGTACTATGGACATTAGGACTCCCATTGTAGTTGGGCCCTGCCTCTGGAAAGTGGGAGAGGGAGCACTTGACCAGAGGAAAAAGCACTGCAGGAATTCCCCCAGACAGCGCTTTCTCTCTGACAGTGAGAGGGGAGGCTGAGGACTGGGTGAATGACAAAATCCCTGTTCTTTGCTCCCTGGTGATAATTAAAACTACTTATGTATGTATGTTTATTTCATGTATATGAA